TCGCGGGGTGTCGAGGCGGGACGACCGGAGTCGGGTAGGAGGGAGTATTAACCGCGTGCAGCAATGTGCTATCTCATCGATGCGCCCCGGTAGTCGTATACAATGGTAGGTCGGGTGTCAATGGGTTTGTGATGGCGAAGTAGAGCACCAGCCGCACTTGGTTGCAGCGTTGGTGGTGAGAGAAAATCGTGTAAGGTGTGGTTGGTAATTGGACCAGGTGTTCCTAGGATGACTGTACGATGGCAAAAGCTCCCATAGTGATGAGTTCATGTCGGGCCCCATTGAGGCCGAGATTTTAGCGGTGCACGTGACTGTCAAACTCCGTCCGCAGCCATCCAGCAAAACCCCCGGGCCCACCGCTGCCGCCTCCAGTGCCCCCCGTTCTCGGCTAAGAAGGACCTTTCCGCCCGCAAACTCCGATAATAATGAATGACACCTTGAATTCCATTTATACCACGCGTCGGTGGACAGGGTCTAGAGTGGTCCCGCCCGCTCGATTCTCAGGCCACCGTCTACTTACGTACATCATCAGTAATGTCTACGCAGTATGGAGTATAACCTGGTGCTTTGCTACCGTACCGTTGTTGGCCAAGAACAAGTAATGCTTTCATTCAAATGTGCACGTTCTACGGATATCACATGGCATCTTTCAAAAAAGGGAACAATTCTAGAGCATCGCCTTGGTAGTTTTGAATATGTCATTTCCGCCACTCTTTGGCAGGGTACAGCGTAATAAGCTAGATTCTCCCTACAAGTCTCCCAGCCATAGCTCCGTTCGGCAGGCCAATTACTCGTACATGCGTTAAATGGTTCGTGATGTCGTCTCATATATGCACATTATGCAACCTAAAATGTTCTGTCCAGTGACCACTTGTTGACGCGGTTGTCCGTCGAATCAAATATTCCAGCGCTTCGGACTTGCTCCGAGGGTTCCGAGATCAACTAACCCACATTGCCGTTTTCCACAGTCGGGTACGCACCGCCGCTCATCTCTGCCCAGTCCCAATCTAGAGTCATGGGGAGGGCGAACAGATCTTGCGGCAGGAGAGGTTGCTGGAACGGCCCGCCCATATTTACTGGCGGCGATCGAGCGCTGTTTGGCCCTGCAAATCCTGTCATCTCGCCAAAGTTGTTGAAGTTTGGTTGTTCTGGTATGCTGAATTCCTGCGGCCATCCGGCAGACGGGAGTGCCGGCGATGGTTCTCGCATCGATGTTGTCGTCATGGGGCTGAAGCCGTGCCTCCTCCGATTCGCTTCTCCATTAAAGTCTGGTGATAATTGGCCGTTTGTCGTCGATGATGTAGCTGCACCGTTCACGGTTTGGGGAGTTGGAGTGGTGACTGAGACAGGCCTAGGTGTGTGTGTTGATGCGGCGGGACTTGACGACGTCTTGATAGCGGCGTCGCTCTTTCGTTTCCTCCGCGAAGACTGCTCCTTCTCCCCCTTTTCGATGACAAGCTTGGCTATCCTCTCAAACTCTGAGCACACTCCGAGCATACGGTGCACACCTCCGGTCTCTGCTTCCTGACCGAGCATGGACAAGAAGTTGACCACGAGATTCATCAACTTGGTATCCGACTTGGCTCTTGGGTCCATTGGGTTCTGCAGAATATTTCCGAATAATGTCATCAAGGCCGATACTGGGAAGTACAGAATAAGCCTACGAGACGAGGTTAGTTATCATAAGCACAATAATCAGCGTTTTGACTCGACTTACCAAACACTTGGAGAATCTCCCTGTGGCATGTACTTGAGAAGCGAGATCGATGCTCGGGCGGCAGCGGTACAGAGCGCCGCAGAAGAGAAGACGCGGGGATTGAGGGGTTTGGCGTTGAGACCCTGAATGGCATAGTTGGACAGGCGACTTGTCCAGTAGCCGTGGTGGACTGACATGCGGTGGATCGTCGTCAAGCAGTTGTAGTAAGTCAAGTGGAGCATGGCAACGTGCAAGATGAGAGGCGTATGCGACGCCTTGATCTCGTGCTCTGGTCTGAAATCGATCGGAATCCTGTCCTTCCATTCCTCGAGTTCCTGGTCGAGCTCTCCGATGGTGTTGAGGAGCTCTCCGCTCGATTGCTTTGTGGCCTTGGTCGAGTACAGTCGAGAGTAGACCTTGCTTTCAATTGTCGCAAACTCGCACATGACCCGGAAGAGGTTCATCTTACCCTTACCATCAGCCAAAGGAATGTTACCAATGTTGTCTTCCGGATCAGCATCGGGTAACTCGACGTTCATATCGTCATCGTCCTGAGCTGGCGGGCGGCCCGCTCGGAGGCAAAGGTCCTTGTCCAGCATGTAAGCGATCCAGAACACTCGCTTACGCTGCTCAATCTCAATGGGGTTGAGGTTGAAGCCAGTTCCTCTCTTGTGAAGGCCAATGCTATGTGCAAGACGAATGGATGTGGCGACCAGAAGGAATGTCGGTTGAGGGTTGGGAGTTCCTTGCATAAAGAGGGCCATTCCGAGCAAGGCCTGTACACTCAGCAAATCTGTGTTGCGCATCGATAATTCGGCAAAAGTCCCCAACGCGTTTTTCATGTAACCCCAAGCCTTATCGTCCTCCTCCTGCGGTACAAGATTACTCATGACACGCAGGCGATGGGCAAAAGCCAGAGCACAGTTCAAACTCGCCCACCAACCGGTGCCCTCGTACGGATCGTCGGAATATTGTCGCTCGACCAGATGCATGAACGTGGGTTGATGAAACAATGGGAACATGCAGTTGAAGTTCTCAAAGAAGTCTTTCAGCAGAGACAACGCCTCCGTCTTGGGAGGCAGTGGCCGGAAGACTGGGCGGCGGAACAAGTCGCTGAAAACCTCGGGTTTCCAGGCGGTCCACTTGTGGTCGTCGATTGAAACTTCGGAAATCATTTGCTGGAACGAGTTGTCGCCCGTCTTCTCGTTCACCCACTGAATACCCTTGGGCGAAAAGATGGAGAAGCCTGACGAGGAACCGATGTATCGCGTCTCGCCACTTTGGTTGGTGACCAGAGAGCACATGAGCTCTGAAAGCGCCTCGACCTCCTCCTCGTTACCCTTCTCCTCGGATACGGAGGCCCGGCGCTTGTCGGCATCCTTGGGATCTCTGTGCGATTCTTTGGTAGGCTCGGGTGACGTTATAGCGCTGTGCGGCGTTGACATGGCCTCGTTCTGCCCCGATGTTGCTTGGGACGGAGATGTAGGGTTAGACGCAGCTTGGGATGCCTGTCTCGACTGCTGTTGTTTCTCTGCCAATCGCTTTTCGAGTGTGCCCAGATCCGTGTCACCGTCGTCGTCTTCGCCAAGAAGACCTACGCAATCGATTAGAACCATGTGCAGACGCATATCAATTTATGCATCACCAACCTGACAGCCTCAACAGATTCTCCATGCGGCCTAGACGGTTCTCGAGCCCTTCAATGTATTTAGCTCTGGACAGCTTGTTAGTCGGATATCGCGGAAAGGACTATATGAGCACATCTCAGCGTACCCTTTTGGCGGATTACGCTTCTTTTCGACCTGAGTGAATACGCAATCCGTCTTGTAGTTTATGCAATGACTGCAGGCAGGCATCTTGCCGTCGCATTTGATTTTCTTCTTCCTACACATGTCACAAGCCTGCGGGCGCAGATGATTGGGGTAAGCGTTCTACTCTTCTTCACGGCAGGGCCGGCGATGGTCGCGCGAGTTTAGATGCTTACCCTCGCAATCCTTCTTCTCTTTGCCTCATTTGCATCGTCGAGAAGGGTAGACGGGTCCCCAAACATGTGAGCAGCAAGGTCGGGGGGCATATGCGTGACGGGCAGGCCGTCGGGCGTGTAAGCGCCAAAAATCTGGGGCGGCTGGTTCATCATCTGGGGCGGTCCCCCCATATGAGGCATCTGGAAGCCCATGTGGTCCATGTTGGACGAATTGAGTCGGTGTTCACCGAAGCCGGGCACTCGCGGGGTTGTCGTCGGGACGCAAGGTCCGGGGGCGTGGTTTGCTGTGAAGGTGAGAGGATGCCGATGAGCGCGAGAAGCGCGCGAGTTATCGTCGACGAGCTGATCGGAGTGGTTGTAAAGCGGCGCTGTGCGCAATGGGATTGGGAGGGTGTCTAAGGACAGACGGCAAAGTTGGGAGGAGGAATTGGGGGGGGTTTTCGAGGATGAAGTAAAAGACGAAAAGGGCCTAAAGGAAATCGGCCTGTCACGGTATTTGCAAGCAGGTAGCGTAAGATGGCTAGCGCAGCGGCAGAGGGGTGGGCACTGCTATTCGCTCGGTACTACGGTGGCTTGGTCGAATTGTTAACGCCGAGAGGTGGACTTGTTTCCGTAGCGGACCTCCCAAGGCGATAGACCCCGAAGCTCTTCGTTTTAGGTCTGGCCTGGAATCCGCAGCGGTGGAGTGTCTCGTCAAGGTGAAGCTCGAGCTGAAGCAGAGCGTGAAGCGGTTGACTTAAGGTAATCGGGGTGGCGTAAGAAGTCTCGTCGGGTTGGTGGACCGTGGGATTGTTGGTCGACTAGTCGAGTTGATGAGTTTGAATCACGTTGAGAGAGATAGAGATCCGAAAGGTAAATATCCGTAGAGAGGGAACTTGTGAGGTATGTTCTAACTAGGGGGGCGAACGTACCTTTGACAAGTAGGAAGGGGAGTTGGGAGGTTATCGCGTTGGACGTCTTAGAAGTTCCGTAGTTCCAGCAAGTTTGAATAGCTAGTTAGGAAGGGTGGGAAAGGGGGAAAGATGAAAGAAAAGTTGACGGCTGAATGATGGGACGGAAGGACGATGGACAAAAGAGAAGAGCTGAGCTGGGCGGTATCACATAACTCATCACCTCCTGTTGCACCTTAAGGTACGCAGTACTTTTTCCACAACTTGGGGGAAGGGGAGGGGGGGGGGCAAACGGCGTTACAGAGTTGCAAACTCGCAGACTCGTCCGTCAATGTGCTTGCAGTGGCATTGGTCAGCGGGGCGTAGCTGACCAGGGGGTAAGGAGGGGGGAGGGGGAGGGGGCACCACTGGTCTCGTTTCGTTGCCCGCGATGTTCTCCCAGATCCCCCAGCTGTAAGGTACCATCCACGGTATCCGCGTACCTTACCCAAGGTACCTGCCTTTCGTGCCTTCCCACGACATTCTACATGCTTAAACAAACGGAAACTTGTACCTTCCACAAGGGGGGTTATTGGAGAAGGATGGGGAGGTGCTTCGGGAAGGGGGCGACCCCGACTTCTGCTGCTGCTGTCGCCCGCCGGCCCGGAGGACGAGATGGTACGAAGGACGGATACGTACAAGGGTGACATGCGTAGGAAGCGAGAGGTCGACTTAGGTTCCTTCCTTACCAGATCAACGTAAGTAGGTATACGGCTATACGTACCTTATTACCAATGAATTAAAGAGAGCACATGGCATTCAACTGCATCTCATGTAATAATCCGCGCCTCTTTATTATTCTGCTACGTTCTTTTACACCCCCAAACGTCGCTTTGCTATTTTGGTTTGCTGCCTTCGGCTGCCTCGCCTGCCATTGGAGGATCTCGAAAGCCACCACCATCACAACCACATTGTACTGGTAATGGTGGTGGTGTAGAGTTGCTTCTCCTCGCCAGTCAACGGGCCTCTCACCCCAAGTTCGACGCCAATTCGCTTGTCTGCGGTGCCTGTTGGCCGCCGGAGCAACTGTCTGATACTTCGCGGGTCATGACTCGGCACTTTGATCGATGCTGCAAAGCTGGGTACAGCTGTCAGGAGAGAGGCAGCGCAAGGCCATGCATCTACAATGCCCTAGATCCGTTCCAGGGTACGATGGAGGCCAGGAGACACGTCTACCCCGAGCCGCGACGCCAAGATGCTCCTCCGCGCCCTCACCGATTCGACTTCCAGGTTTTCCGCCTGGTCGGTTCCAACTTCCAACTCATCGACGCCATTGACCACGAGGAGAGCGCCTGCATTCCGTGGCGGACCTCGTCTCCCGCTTCTTGGCTTCCACCGTTCATCACTTCACCGTCATGTAGGTCGCTCTCCTCCCCACCCATCCCACTTTACCGGCCTAAACCCCCCCCCCCCCCCCCCCCCCCCCCCCCCCCCTTCCCCCCTCCCCCCCCCTTTTTTTTTTTTCCCCCCCCCCCCTCCCCCCCCCCCCCCCCCCCTCCCCCCCCCCCCCCCCCCCCCCCCCCCCCCCCTTCAGCTTCTAACCCTTTTGATATCGGAATTGTTCTTTTGTCTCAGCTCTCGACCACCCCTACACAGCAATACCCAGCATTCGCAGACCTCCCCCCCGTCGTTCTCTCTGTCACTCTGCAACCCCTGGCGCGGCACCATGTGCGAGGAACACTCTCGCGGCGAATCATATCGGCTGAATCGGCTTGACAGGCCCCATCTACCGCCCGTGCGGCGCCATCTGCAGTGCATGTACGGATACCTTAATCAATCTCCCTCCCCTGGCCTGCACCTCTTCAAGCTGGGCTCCTCCACGTCCCGAGCGTCCGAAGATATCTAGTTCTCCAACTTGTATCCTCACCTCAACCTGAGAGAAGGCGCCATCGAATAGGGAATGGCACAGAAGAAAAGAATAAGAATGGACACGGGACGGATACTTACCAACGATATCACGAACTCTACTCGTTCCCATATTCCAATCAGGAAAGCGGCTCGGTATCCGTCACTGTCTGGGGGGCCATGCTCTCAAGAAAGCTCTAAATCCTGATGGGAAGATGAATCTTCTCGTAGCTCGGATACACCTTTTCAGTCTTGACGGCTAGACTAGCTCGGAATCAGTCCAGGAACAAGGGTTTGCTTGATGTGACAGGCACAAGCGCAGAACCTTCTCTCCCTCTTCCTCTTATCTCTTACTCACTCGCAGTCACAGACGCTAGCCAACCGCAACGAGGGAAACCGCCATCCGGCGTCGAGCACGGAGAATCACTCGCATGCGCATATGGCGTGCCGGCCTGGGCTCGTCACGGAGTTATCTCCAATTCGCGGTACCGCTCGCGGGCATTGACGGAGCCCCCACCCCCCTAAACGATAATTGCTTTACCGTTATCGAGGCCTGTCTGAAGCTATGGTAACAGCTTATTCACAATTGCTCTGACAATCGGACAGTGAGGCCTCTTTGCATGCCCAACCAGCTCGGCGAGGCTTATATCCAGTCGGTCGGGTGGAGTGCGCGCGCGGGAGGCCGGGGGCGCAGCTGTTTGATCCGAGCAAGCCGGAGCAAATATCTCGACTCCTCAAGATCCATTTTCAATGACTCCATGGTATTTCATCCTGGCAAGGAGAGATGGGAGAAACGCTCTACGAAAACGGGGCGTGGCCTTTGTCGTTGGATACCGCAAGTGTCTAGAGCGAGCATATCACGAGACAAACCAAGGCATACCACCAAGATCGCACATCGATACCAACGTCAACCCAGCAAGATCTCGTGCTGTCGCCTCGCGCCTCGCTCTTCACTACTTCAGGTTACGCCGCCGCTGCGATGTATTGCGCCGAGGTCCGCGACGCACTAGAGCCCTTCTCGAATAACCATCCCGGGCCTATGTACGGAATGCAGGTGCCATCGATGTCGTGGGTGGTTCATACTGGTCTCGACACCTTCGGACGGTTGAAGATGCCGCAGGGTTCGAAGAAGTGGAGCTCTTGAGACCGGGAGTGAGGTTTCTTACTCCAAGCTCGGGTATTATGCGAGGCTCCTATTGTTATGGAGCAGGAAGCTCTGGCCTGATGGAGGCGCATGCTGTCTTTGCCCCCCCCAAGTATGAAGCACCCGAAGCCACCACGACCGTGTTATACGAGAAGTATCGCAAAATGACAATGGGCAGATGAGGCTCGACACTTGACAGCACTACACCTCCATCATCGACCTTTTTGCGATAACTCGTACTGGATGATCATGAGCGGCCTCGGGTGTGCAGTGCAGTGGTATGGGCGCTTTGCACAGGATGCCCATCTGTTCCTCCATTGAGACCAACTACCCAAAAAAGATGTTTCATCCCGTGTTGTAGATGACGGTACCGGGGAATGGAATGGGATGAGATGGTAAACACTCATAAACGCCTGATGGATGAGACACCCGCCCTACAGGAAGCAGGCCACAGTGAGGTGAGTGCCTACTTTCGTACCCAATCGGGATCGTGTAAGACGCTGCAAAGAGAATACCAACAGTTCTATGCCCAAAACTTGAAGGCGAATTTGTCATGGTAAGGGCGCGGCCCAAGCGGGACACAAGGTTGCCGCCCCAGAATTCTGGGACGGGGGTGGTTGTTGAAGAAAGGCAAGAAAAAAAAAAGAAGCTCGACACGACCATTCGTTCTGGTTCCCACCGTTTCATACATGTCTCAAGATGGTTCACCAAGAAAGCGACTCCACCCGGGAAGGCAACAACGTTCTTGGGGATTCTCTACAGTCTCCCCCCCCCCCCCCAAAAAAAAAAGATTCAGACTCGGCCTCCGGGGGAAAGCCTCCCCCATGAAATCAGGGTCCGCGTTTTGTTTTGCGCAAAAGCCTTTCTTTGTGCGAATCTTACGAGCTTTCCCGGAGGCAGCCCGAGGTGATGAAAGAGTCAACCTTTTGTTCTTGTTCTTCTCTCCTTACACTACTCAGCAAGAAGCCATCCTCCCCATCGTTCAACGCAACCGCAGCCGCGCTTCCGGTCCCTCACCCCCGGTCTTGCTACAATTGGACTTCTCTCCACCTTCCAAGGGGAAAAGATCGGACGGGGAGGACACGGCACGGCATGTTCATCATCGCAAGTGGATCCCCAACCAGCGGTTGGGAAGCTCGAGTGAGATAGAGTTCTCGTCACATGGGAGAGCACAAACTTCCATACGCGGAAAAAGATGGTCGCGCCTTTTACTCCGTACGCATGTGGTTTGATACCGTGTACTCCGTACGCTCAAGGCAAGTGAGGTAAGGTAGGGGCAGAAGAACCGTTGGCAAAAAAAGACGTCGGATAGACTTCATCTTCTCTTTTTCTCCCCTTCGTGGCCGTGGCCAGAAAAGGCAAAAATCTAATGTTGCCCTCCACGCTCTATCCCCTTTGGCCCGTCTCTGACCTCTCACTCTTCTCTTTCTCGTCTCCCGTCTTGGGGCGAAACTTGAAAAGAAAACTTATTTACATCCAAGCAAGCCCAACACTCGCCTCAGCTGCGGATGCCAATGCAGCAATTGCGGTCCGGAGCCGGCGCACGCGTGCGTGCTTGCTTGCTTTTGAAAAATTGGATCCATATCCCTTCCCCCTTCTCCATGGATTCACCTCACTTCCGCACGACCGGAACGAAAAAGGCTCATATCAGACGTGCCAGAAACTCTCTCAACGCCATTCCATATGCCGTCGTAGAGTCCGCAAAGATGGCACAAAGCAAAAAAGGTGTAACCCCCCCACCACCCAAAACCCCTCCAAATAAGTACTAGTAATTATCGTTTGAAAGATTGGTAAGAATGTACAATACGCCTCAAGGTACGTTTTTGGAGTCCCGGCGTTGCCCTCGAGCTCGGCATTGGCCGAGCTGGGAATGAAAAAGAAGAAGGGAAAAAAGGTTGAGCATAAAGGAAAAAAGTGAATTCACATGTCTTCGTGAAACCTAGAAGCCGAACCCCGAGAGCCCCGAGACCCGTCCTGCGAAGGTAAGGTCCGACCAATTGGGTCCCGACCGGGGGGCTGTAACGGGACGAACGGCGGATTTGTCTGCGGAGACGCGGCCGGAGGCGGGAACGGCGCCGATTCGGTCACTGGCGTTCGAGCCGGCGACTCTTTGAAGACCACGACACCGCTGACTGGCCTCATGGGCGAGCCGAGTGCGAGGCGTGTTGTTTGACCGTTGGGGTCGAAAAAGGCTTGAGAGTCCCGGAAGTAGACTGATTCGTCATCGTTCACGGCGGCTGAGGTGCCCTCGCGTGGATCTGTGTAACCGTCGCCTCCGGCTTGTAGCACAGAAGGCAGTTTCCTGCCGGCTACTCGGACAAAGCCTCTTTCGCCGGTTTCGGAAGGCTCGCTAGCCCTCCTTGAGGAAGGCTTGTGAGCCACGGCCATCGCACCTGCTCCGGCCCCGGCACCAGCGGCCGCTGTCGTGGGATCAAACGATAACGACCGTTGAACCATTCCGCCGCCATTGCCACCGGGTGGACCGCCGGAACCGGTCAGGATGCCTCGTTTGCCGGCGCTGGCCTCACTGAGGCGGAACCGTCCACCGGTACGCTTCTTCCACCGAAGAGCGAGGAATACCAGCACCACAAGGAAAGCCGCTCCAGCCAAACTTCCTACGACGCTTCCTACGACAGTTGCCGTTGGCGTTGGCGAACCGCTACCGCTAGAATTGTCCGAGGTGGAGGTTGAAGTGGGTGCAGCCGTCCCCGCCGCGCCGCCGCCGATTCCACCAGCGGTCCCATCTCCGGAAGCTGTCGCTTCATTTGAGGGCGATTGCGAGGCGCTCGTGGTAAAAGTAGACGTGCTCAATCTGCTGGAACCCGAAACCGAGGTCGATGCCGATGTCGAGGTTGCAGTCGAACCCGAGTTGGAGCCCCATGTCGTCGATGACAGGGATGAAAGTATTGATGAAGTGACGCTTGTTGAGCCAGACGAAAGCTGGCTAGTTAAACTGGTTGTGGTAGAGACTGAGGTTGAAGAAGAGTTTGTTGACGTAAGGAATGCTAGATATTGGGTCAGCTGCTTCGGTCTAGGACACGCGACAAAAGGGGAGGCGGCGCACAAATTGTCGAGTTTGACTGGCCACTCAACGTAGGGTAGAGTGACGGCGTAGCTTCTGAAGGTGCTGGAGTCGATAAAGGATCGGACGTCAAGGAGATATCTTGACTGGTGGAAGAGTCGGTGGAAGTGGATGTGGTGGGCGCCGGTGTCGACAGTGCTGAGTCATTCGTCGTGCTAGAAGATGTCGTGGAAGAATCGGTGGACGAAGTTGAGGATGGTACCGCGGCAATTGACAAGTCAAGGGCGGCACTGGTGGTTGATGAAGCATCCACGGTGGCGGCCGTCGGGAAGATGGTCTGGACTTGGATGGGGGAGCCGGTGGCATCGACTATTTGAATGAGGGAGACGGTCTGGACGACGATTCTCGGTGCGGCGGCACTCGACGAGGTGGCGGCGTCGGGGCTGGGAGTCGTCGGGCTGGGGTCGTCGAGTTGGCGATGGTGGTGATTCGCATTCTCGGGGGTGGCTGCACGTTGGTTGTGTAAATGGTAATGATTGTGATGGTATGAGCGGGCCTGAGGGAGTGAAGACCCGCGCAGTGATTTAGTCATGGCTTCGATGGGGTGGCGTTGGGCCAAGTAGGCAGAGGCTGAGCTTTTGCCCCGGCCGTTGTGTGTGGTTGGTTGTCTTTTTTGGTAAACTGGGGGAGGCGAACTTCAAGCCGGCGTGTTCCCAGGGCGGGACGGGAATAAAGATAGAAACAAGGTAAACGAGTGACTGGTGTTGGATCACCGGGTAAGTAAGCGAGTGTGAGCGAGTGTGTGTGTGGTTTGTGTTTGGATGAGAATTGTCGATCTATTCGAATTTCATTCTTGGCATCCTCATGGCCATGTGTCGATAAAATGGTACTATCGTCTGGTGGTTGGTGGTTGGTGGTTGGCGGTTGTGGAAGTGGTGGTGGTGTCCTGCAACGGGCCGCGCGAATGCAATTCCCCCTTTCGTTCTGAATCAACAGATGGTCGTTCTTTTTTCCCTACACTCTTTCTGAAGTTTCCTCCGGATGCCGTATGTGCGAAAGTGCGAAAGTGCGATTGCCCCCGGAAAGGACTTAGAAAGCCAACAACAGGAAGGGACCGTGGACAGTTCGTGTCAGCCGTTTCTCGTTGTTCGTGTTCGAGATCCTTTGTCTCCCTTGCATCCGCCAATTCTCATGGCCGATGGATCAGGACGATGGCATGGCGGCGTAAGCGTGTGTTGCTGGCAGGAGGCGAAGAGAAGAGGACCAGAAGGATTCGGAGTAGGAGAAGGAGGAGGGAGGAGTAGAAGAAGAGAAGAGATAGACAGACAGACAGACACACAGGCGCCGCGGATGGGGGGGGGGGGGTGGAGTGAGCAGGCACGACGATAATAATAGGCAATGGATCGATCGTAGGCCGGGCTCTAAGGTAAGGTAAGGTAAGGTAGGGTAAGGTACTCCGTAGTGTACGTAGTAATAACATGCAATATCCGTTTGGAAAGGGAAACAACGCAGGTCCAGTCAAGTGAGAGAGTCACACCTTTTTGGTCAAAGTTGAGCGCTTCGACGTGAGGTGGGCGTCGCCCTGTTCACTTAATCTGTTCTTGCCCTGGGAAGTGTCTGGGGGGGGGCCTTGGACTTTTGGTAGAAGCAGAGGAGGACATTGGCACTGGGCGGTTGGAAAGACAGAATTGACAAAAAGGTACTCGGTAGCAAAGCACGAAAGGTACGCAGTAGGACTGGCACACAGGCGCAGATTGCAGTCACTCGCAGGTGGGAAGATTTCGATAATCTCGCTTGATATTGGCGAGTGGCTGCTAGTTGGAGGACATCGCGTCCCATTGGCCAACCACACCTCGCCAAAGTTGCAGTGAGCAGTTCCACTGTCCACTATCACGGGGAGCGGCCCCCCCCCCTTCTCTCAGTGCCCCCAGTGGCCCCCTCCCCCTCCACCAGCAATGGGGGCATGGGCCGACCAGGAACGGGCACCATGGGCCAGGGACAGGGGACAGGGGATGGGCAGGGAACATGCACCCCATCGCCATGGCGTCCTGTCCTTTTCTCTCTTGCTGCTTTCTTTTTTATCCCTCTCACGTCTTCCCATTTGGTGCCTGTCACATCGAGGCCCGCACAGTACGCCAGTCAACACACGGCGTATCATCCAACGCAACCTACGCAGCACCCCGTACCTCATTGCCAACGACTTCAATCGTACCTTATGGTCCATGGATACACTGTACACTGTCCATTGGCTTTGGATGGAAAGGCAATGGCTAATCGATGGACAGACAGGTGAAAGCACAGGCCCTTCGGTGGCATGAAGGCGACAGAGAAGAAAAGGAAACGAGAAACATCCCGCCGATCAAATCAGAGGTGACAGCACCAGCACACACCACCATCCGTCGGGATGACACGAAATGAGATGATGCATGGGACGAAAGAGGCACAGAGAGGAAGCCGACAAGTCTGACTAAGGCACCGCGTCAAAAATACGTACAAGACACACGAGACATGGACACACGAGGTCCAGGAAAGGAATGGCCTGCGCAAGCCCGACGAATGTGTCTCGTTTTCCCTTACAAAAGTCTTTATTTGGCTACGAGGTCCGTGTCCGTGAGCAATTCAACTCGTCTTCTGCGTGTTCAATTGGCGCCGTTGGTTTCGCCCACGAGATCATGGCGGCGCACGCGGCGCAACCCGCTCGACCAACTGCCATCCAGAATCCAGAAAGGTCCAGACCAGACATGTCTCCCGGGTACGCTATCTTACGACACTAATAACGTGCCTACGGATACCTACGGATACCAACAATGACGAAGCATCTTGACGCTAGAGACAGAGAGGTCCATGAAGGATCGCCCACCTTCCCCAAACCAATGCTTGAGGAGGAGGGTCAACGGCTCTGCATCTGCATTTTGGAGATTCGGAATCCAATGGAATAAAAAATATCTGCGAAATAAATGGGCCAACTTACGACGACACGAGCCAGTATTAGCGACTCCACTACTCCAACTTTTCGTACGTTGTCTTCGTCGCTCAGCTACGGCTACCGCTGAACTGATGCCAGCATTTTAATAGTCAACACTTCTCACAGCTTGCAGCATAAAGTTCGCAATCCTTCAAGTCCATCGTCGCTAGACGGCGCATGACGAGCCAACCACAGTGGAGAATGGAAGAGAAGAAATTAAGAAAAGGAAAATACAAGCAAAAATTCGATCCGAGAATGCGACCAAAAAGTTTGTCCACGCATGCATGTCGAGGAGGCATGCGCCAAAATCAACCTGTGTGACCATCGTTGAAATCTCTAGTCTCGCCATGTCATCTGCGAGCCGCCTACCTGCCCGACCAGTACTCTTCACTCCCCCGAGGGTTGTGCCGACTCATTCGCGCCTTCTGACCTGAAGTCAAATCATTCGCAATCAGTACCTACCAAAGTCCGTTGGGCGGCTCTGTTGGGAGCAGCTTCGTGGCTTTTCCTCACCTCGTACCGCAGACACCCTCCACCTCGTATTCACCACGAAGGAGCCAAACTTTACGAATTCAAGCAAATGCTCGCTTCTCCTCGTTCACCATCGCCTTTGAATAGAGTCTTCCATAAGCCGAACATGATGTTTTTGTTTCTTCTTGTGGCCGCACGGATACGGCATACAGTGCGCGGTACCTGCATATGCATCTGGATCCCTGGCTGGGGCTCCATTTCTTGGGGGCCCTTCATGGAGTTCGTGGGGCCGTTCACCCTTTGGCTGCCATGGCCGGCGCCCCGGGCGAAGAACCAAACGAAACGTGCGGACGAGACGGACGGGACGGATTAGCCCCTCTTCATCCTCCAAACGCATACTGCGTAGTATCGAAAGGTGTTATGGGCGAGGGGAAGGCTTGCTTCCAGGGCAAGAAACCCAGCGAACGCCCAACGCAGAGAAACAATGGCAGAGCACATACCCGCATCAGTACCTACACGAAATGAATATTGGCTGTTGTACATGCGACCTAGCCTAGGATTCCCCTCAAATCTAGCAAGGTGAGCCTGGCGAGGTTGCAAAAGATTCAAAAGACGGGTAACAATTGACTCCCGTATGCCGAATCGACCAAGCGAAGACGATTGTCAGACTCCTTCAACTTTGACCAACGCCTACAGAAATCTACGGATAATTCCACGACGATAGGTTCGTTCTAGAAGCGGGTGGCTAACAGACGTCGAGCACCCACATGCCTTTGAGATGGGAGGGGCCTCCATCTGGTTTTCTCTCCTAGTGCACGGCAAGCCTCGAGCCTGCTCTGTCGCCTCTGTCTCTGCGTGTTGGAAGCTTGGCGAGGCTCGGCGATCATGGGACGAATTTCGTTTCCATCGAAACAAACACTGGGGTAACCTGGAACCCCCGTCTCTTCTGATGCCCCCTTTCCCTTGCCCCGTTATATTTCTCGGCGTGACGGAACTTGCTCTTCACTGCCTCACTGATGATGGAGTCTTTTTACTGGCGCAAGTGGTCCGAATTACCCAGAATTAAGGTGTTCGGCTTCTTCCCCGTTTACAGGTCATAACTTATGCGTTATCATATAGGTATCATTTGGCAAGTTGAACGATTGTATGTATGAGACGATTTAGCGCGTCTCAGGAGGCTCTCTGAATTCTGGGGCCGTCGAATGTGCTTTCCTTCCCTTGCGACATGGCAGCGAGCGTTGTCCAAGTATTCGCACATTTTGGTATTCGCACCAAGGAAAGATTGTCATTCGAACCACGGCGTCATCCAAGACCAAGCACGGCACTGGAATGACAAGATCTCCACGGCTGTACGTAATCCTCCCTTGAACCGACCCCCTCCCCGACAGGCGTAAAGTGGAGTTCAATGAAAGAAAGGCTTGCACCTCTTGGCTTGTCGAACGTTCGACAGCCTGGGGGTGCAGTCGATGGTTTGGCTAAGACTGCTGTGTAGTGCAGATGTTGTGCAGCGTAAACATGGGTAGACTAACCACAGTATCCGTACTCTGTACCACAGGAACAAGAGTCAAAAAGGTGCGCGAGACAACAATGACTCTATCCGTAGGAAAGCACGTTCATTACCACCCCGGTGGGTTTTCTCCTGGGCGCGTTCCCGAGACGACGGGCAGCTACCCTTCTATAGCTCGCATCGAATTCTTCACTTCTACTCCAAGAGGAGCCGCACTGAATTCCACGAAACTGCGACCAGCTTAGCGTACAAGTGGCCGTGTCCGTGGGCCAGAACACACGATGTCTGAGGACGGATAGCCGTCTGCCGTCTGTCTGTTCTCTCTTGTTGTCTCGTTCTAGGCCCCATCCTTCTGGAAACCTTGGACCCCGTCGTCCCGACGGACGAACGTCCACCTGAAGATGAGGGAATTGGCGCCGCGGAACCATGTCTATCAACTACCGGGCGCCGTTTCGATATTTTTATTCTCCTTTGGCGGACCGTACCTGGCAGCAAGGCAGATCAACCAGAAACAGACAATAACAAACCCTTCGATGGAACCCGTTCGAGGTTTTCTAACAAACTTCTGTTGGAGTGGGCGACGGTTGCAACGGAGAAGAGCGACGATGGAGTCTCCAATCTAATCTGTGTAATCTCCCAAATGACCCATCACCCATGGCGATGCCCTGCCGGCCCCTGCCCTACCCTCGGCCCCCGAATCGAGGAAAATGACCGCAACAGGACGATGGGACGTTCATCTGAGAGAACGGGGAGTTTTCTCTCTCTCTCAGCCAACCTGATTTCTAGAGGGGACCACCTTCAAGGGGGTTTGGCAGGCATAGAGGATATCGAAATCAAACTTGACGGTCTGCGCCGTGAAAGGTGCTGATTGGGCAGGAGTTGGTGGTCTACAAAACCTGCACAAATGCAAGGCTCAATTGTGATTATTACTGCTTTGTCTGGTTTGTTGCACACCTGCCGAGTATTAAACTTCTACGCGTCCAAGCACTGAACCAGCAAGCTCATTAAAGCACAGATAGAGTTCGCGCAGTTGTTGTATCGAAGGAAGCTTGGAAGGGAAAGCTGCCAGGGTGGTCCTGTTTGTGGAGGACGGCTATTCCGCACCCACATGAAGGCTATCCCGCACCCATACTAGGCCTACTTAAGCAAATAGTGGGTTATATATAATTATACGTAACTATACTACTGTAGTAACTATAATTAACCCGGAATTTTTATTATTCTAATAGTTTCTTGAGAAGGTACAGCCTCCTCTATTATACCTTTTATTATTATACCTTTTATTACTATACTTTTTATTACTATACTTTCTATTATTATACTTTTTACTTTAATTTTTTTTATAGTGCGCTTTTTAAAAT